TGCAGTGCCGCAATCTTGGCTCACTGCAACCTCTGCCTCCCAGGTTCAAGCAGTTCTCCTGCCTCAGCCTCCCGAGTAGCTGGAACTACAGGCACGCGCCACCATGCCCAGCTAATTTTTGTATTTTTAGTAGAGATGGGGTTTCACATATTGATCAGGCTGGTCTTGAACTTCTGACCTTGTGATCCACCCACCTCAGCCTCGCAAAGTGTTGGGATTACAGGCGTGAGCCACTGCGCCAGGCCACTTTCCAGATATTATAGGCCCTAATTTATTGTGTCTCAAATGCCAAATAAATTTGAGAAGCTTAGACTGGAGCTGCCGTACTGATACAGGTTTGGATTTATGGGTGAATGGGTGACTATAGGTGTCATGTTATTTTCATAGAACCACGCAGGGTTGAAATTAGGAAGGAAAGAAGTTTCCTTGAATGGAGATAGCCAGAGTCAGAATTAAGACCTTTCTTCCAGGATCAATCTGAAATAACATTTTGACAAGTAAAAAGAAGCATGCCTGTCATAGAAGAAATAAAAAAGGCAACCTGGAAGAATAGAAAAAGGGAGGTCTACATAGAAATTAGTTACCGTCTACCTGGGTGTGGTGGCGGGCACCTGTGATACCAGCTACTCAGGAGGCTGATGCAGGAGAATCGCTTGAACCCAGGAAGCGGAGGTTGCAGTGAGCCGAGATCATGCCATTGCATTCCAGCCTGGGTGACTTGAGGGAAGTGATCACCTAAATCAGTGTTTTATCAAACTTTTAAAATTATCATCCTCCTAAAGAGCCTTTCTAGACATTTTTTCCCATTAATTCTCCCATACCCCTACCACGAAATTAAATGCTCAGGAATGATTGTTTTGGTAAGGTTAAGCTTTGGAGTTCCACAAACTAAAAATTAAGAGTGAGATTATATCAAAGATTGTTTCAATCCCCACTGAGTTCCCCACACCCTAGGGAGCCATATCACCCATATTAAGAACTTGTAGCCTAAATAAATCTTATATGGGTGTATTATTCATGGAGTTGTTTTCCACTGCTTACATAGCACATATCAACTATGCCAACCTCTGATTTGTAATATGCTTTTCTTGGATCCAGCCTTAGGATACCAAGAGATATCTTCATCAACATTAACTGTCATTACAATAACATCTAGTCAAGAATAGTCTAAATGGCCGGGTGTGGTGGCTCATGCCTGTAATCTCGGCACTTTGGGAGGCCGAAATGGGTGGATCACTTTGAGCTCAGGAGTTCGAGACCAGCCTGAGCAACATGGTGAAACCTCATCTCTACTGAAAATACAAAAATTAACCAGGCATGGTGGTGGGTACCTATAATCCTACTGGGGAGGCTGAGGCAGGAGAATCACTTGAATCTGGGAGGCGGAGGTTGCAGTGAGCTGAGATAGCACCACTGCACTCCAGCCTGGGTGAAAGAATGAGACTCCATCTCAAACAAACAAAAAAGTCTAAATGTCCTTAATACTGTCCGTGTGTGGCACTAGTGAAGTAATTTCTGGCCATTAGTGGTGCTATGTTCACCATGAAATTGAGGCTACAGAAATTCCTTTGGAAATGTCTGATTTAGACATTTATCACTTTCAGATGTTTTAGCCATGAAAGAATCTCATGGATTTATTGCAGAAATATGCGATGGTCAAAGACAAGGTATTGGCTCTAGAAGCCAAATTACTAGTCTTTATTCTGGCTTTTTATTTGTGAGACCATGGAGAGTCGTTTCAACCCTGGGAACCTTGATTTACTCTTTAAAAACAGAGAAAATAGGCTGGGCGCGGTGGCTCACGCCTGTAATCCCATGGGAGGCGAGGCACTCAGATCACTTGAAGTCAGGAGTTTGAGACCAGCCTGGTCAGCATGGTGAAACCCTGTCTTTACTAAAAATACAAAAATTAGCTGGGCCTGGTGGCACATGCCTGTAATTTTAGCTACTCTGGAGGCCGAGGCAGGAGAATCTCTTGAACCAGGAGGTGGAGGTTGCAGTGAGTCAAGATCCCACCATTCCACTCCAGCCTGGGCGACGGAGACTCTGTCTCAAAAAAAAAAAAAAGAGAAAATGATAAACACCTTGCAGGTTGTTGCATGGTATAATGGTCATACATTATTTTCTACTCTTTCTGGTAAAGAGTTGGTGTGTCATAGAAAGTACCTGTTCTGTGTGTGTGTGTCTGTGTGTATAATTCGGTGTGAAAATTAAAGAAAAACAATAAGAAAACCCCTTTCCTACAGTTATGTGTAAATTAGCATGGTGTGCTGCAAAAAACATGTGTCAAGGTGATAGGAGAATTATTTTGACTTTCCTGTACAATTATAAAATGATTCAGTGAGTTTGGTTAGGTATCCTCGTTCTCTGAATCTGTATCCCTGTCTGCTTATGACCAAAAAAAAAAAAAAAAAAAGAAAAAAAATCATGGCAAGGGTCTCTCAAGCTCTAAAGAATATGTCAACTATGATACAAGTAGCAGTTAACCTTATAACTAACTGTAAACACTATCTGTGGGTTTTAAGTTTTACCTGAGCATTGGCTATTAACACACCATTAACCCAACTTTCAAAAATATGAACTCTATAAACTTCACAACTGAAGTCAGATCTATATGCCTGAGAAAGGTAAAATCATTTCATGAAATCAAACGGTGGTGATGCGCCCAAATTCTGGCCTCATCCTTTAATTGGAGGACATCCGGCAGGATAGCAACTGGGCCCTGCCTTTTTTTAGGCAGCAACATCTTCCACTCAACCCACACCATTTGACAGTTCCCCATTGCCCCTGGCACCCAGCCCTCCGGTACCAGGAACTAAATATCCTTGTCCATTCCGCCAGCGGCCACTGCCTACTTAACCCGAAGCAGGTGAAAGCGCCTCACGCAGAGTTTGGAACCTCCAGGGGCGTGGCGTGGCGTGGCGTGGCATGACGCAGCGTAGCGTTGGGGAAACTTGGGCCTGCGGATTGGGGGACCGGAAAGGGAGGGGTGGGCCGCAGGCGCTGGACGTGACGTAAGCCGGAAGCGACTTTCCGCCGAGAAATAGGGGCGCGTGTTTGGAAATTGATAGAAAAGATAAAGCGAGCGAGCTGCTGTCAGTCTGGCTTAGTGATCTGCTTCCGTTTCACCACAGATTCAGTTATTAAACATTTTTTTCTTTTTTTGGTTCTTTGCAACGTGAGCGGCATTGGCTCAGTGATTTCTGTGAGCATCTCCACGAGAAAACATTGCCTCGATGAGGTGCGGTGGAAGCCAGGCAGCCCCTTCTAATCGGCTAGGCTTGAGAAAGCGTGTACCTCTGCCTTTCCGAAATTAACTCAGCGTGATCGGCAAGATTTTCCGGAGCATCTGGTGTCAAGACAGTCGTCACTATTAATTCGGAAAGAAAACACCGTTTTCCAGCATTTCTCTTGGTGGAGAACTAAACAACAGGAAAAATGTCTATTTTCCCTAAGATATCTTTGAGACCCGAGGTTGAAAACTATCTTAAGGAAGGCTTTGTGAATAAGGAGGTAGGTCAGGTAAAGATGTTAGATGATGTTTTGCAAAAACTCAAATATTCACACACTCTAGAGAAATAGAAAAAAGTGTAAAGGGAAATCTTGACAGCCATCGTTTCTTACTACTTGTCTATCAAGTGTAAAAATACCAATATGTTTCTACAGGTATTAAAGCTTACTGAGATTCAAAGTGAATAAGGTATATGTTTTAACATTTAGGAGTGGAAAAGAAGGGAAAAAACGCATGTGCCTGTCAAGCATGACACAAAGGGTTACAAGGATGAACAAGAAAAAGTCCTTGTCTTCAAGAACTCAAGTCGAATTTTAAAAGAGCACTCGCTCTGGCACTCAGGTGAAAAGGATTCTGTAATTTTTTGAGTGCCTGTTAAATGCCAACAGTTGTGCTAGGTTATTTGCATCTTTACTCTTCACAATCTTTTTTTTTTTTTTCCGTAGAGGTTTGTTCCTATTTTAATAGATAAGAAAACTGTTAAAGGAATTGTGTAACTGACCCAAGTTGACACGGCTATCAAGTAACTATTGAAATCTGGAGGGAAAGGGTTCAGGTGTAATGAACAAAGGTACAGCTTTTGAATCTCAGGCACTTGATTTGCCTTCTAGTGCCTTGTAAATTACTTTACGTGGCTTAACCTCGATTTTTCTCTTCTGTGAAAAATTGAGAATGGTTAAAAATATCTTACCAGGTTGTTTTAGGATCTTAAACGTAAGTAAATACAAGTAGCATTGTTTTGGCATGTAAGTCCTCAAAAAATGTTAATGTTGTTTGCTAAAGTCCCCAGTAAATGTTGCTTGTCTTTGATTGCAAAGCCTGCTGTCTATTCCACTTTACCATGCTGCCTCTGAGCAACTTTGTTTTTTCCAAATCTTTAGTTTTTTAGTCAAATTAAAAGTATTTTACCAGGTTGTTTTAGGATATTAAACGTAAATGAAAACAACTAGCATTGTTTTGGCATGTAAGTCTTCAAAAAATGTTAATTTTGTTTGCTGTTGGCAGTGCCTGCCACAGAAGTCCTCAGTAAATGTTGATTGTCTCCGATTGCAAAGCCTGTCCTCTCTTCCACTTTACCACGTTGCCGCCAAGCAAATTCTTTTTGAAATCCTTAGTTTTTTTTAGTCAGGTTAACACTACTTAAATGTTGCTCATTTTTGAATATGTTATTGAAGCCATGCCTTTTAGATTTGATTTATATGTTTCATTTCCAAAGATTATGTTGAGAGACTAGACTGTATGGAAAGATAAAATATATTCTGTTGATTTCAAGGGACTTAAAATATAAGGCACATATTAAGAGAAGTAGGGGCATTCTACAATTTTTTTCAGCTGATTTTAAAATGGAGAACATTGTTTTATAAAGAATATCCAAACATCTTTGTTTTGACACTCCTTCTGCCTCAGAGCCTCATCAATGGTATGGTTTTACAAAATGGAAAGCTATGCCTTTGTGAAAAGTATTGAAGGGAAAGAATATTAAGTTTTATGCCTTTTTTTTTTTTTTGAAACAGGGTCTCGCTCTGTTGCCCAGGCTGGAGTGCAGTGACGTGATTACAGCTCACTGCTGCTTCGACCTCTGGGACTCAAGTGATCCTGTCACCTCAGCCTCCCGAGTAACTGGGACCTCAGACAGGGGTCACCACTCTGGCTAATAATATTTGTATTGTTTGTAGAGATGGGGTTTCACCATGTTGCCCAGGCTGAAAGTTCAGCTTTGATAAGACTAAACCTTGAGAAAGTATGAATACTTTTAAGGCTAGTGGATGAGTAGGCTAACAAGTGGTTTGTGAAGATTATGTAAAGCAGGGTTTAGTCAAATAGAGAAAAAAAAAATATGTTATTTGAAAAGGTTCAGTTAATTACAAGGGAATATTGTTGTTTAAGTCTTTATACCGTCATATCTGACAGGTGTCTTTGCTACTCATCTTTTTTGGACAATATATATTTGTTACATTGAATAATACCGTATTAAAAAGCTGATGTCCTAGGGGAATCTTTGTATGACAGTGACTATATCAATGTTACTTACTCTTTAAATATTGGGGTTTTAAAAGGATACCACCCAGTTTGCTGTTGGAGACGATGTTAGCTAATTAGCAACATCTAGCTAACTTGGATATAATGTTAGCTCTACAGAGATACTGTAATGGTAATGCATTATAAATAGACTGAATTTTTGAATGTATGTGAGTAAATGTAGCAGATATTAATATTTGGAAAATGTGCATAATGCTTTGAAGTTTAGGCAATGTTTTTCTAAGCCCTTTATTTCAGGCATTTTCTTAGATGTTTATTACCACGTTTAAGCCCAAGAACCCTGTGAAGTATTACTATTTCCTTAGTGCTATTAACATATAAACAATACAGCAAAATAGAATGGAGCTGAACAATTGCTAAGCGATGTTTCATTAGATGGAATTAATATATAAGCATGTTCTGCTGACTGTTTTTAATTCTCAGGAAATTTAAACATTAACTTCTTCTTTTTAGATTGTGATGGCTTTAGGTAAACAAGAAGCAGAAAGGAAGTTTGAAACTTTGTTAAAGCACCTGTCACATCCTCCGTCATTCACAACTGTCAGAGTGAATACACATTTAGCCTCAGTACAACATGTGAAAAATCTGTTATTTGATGAACTTCAGAAGGTTTGTGGAAATTTTCTGTCATTTGTACATAATTACATTTTTGCAGTCTGCCATGTTCTCCATTAAAATCTTATGAATGATATAATACACTTCCAATTTTATAGACAAGGAGATTGAGGATCGTGAATGGTAAATTCTTCAAAATTATCCTAGGTGGTAATGCTAGAACTTGAACCTAGTACTTCTGATTCTAAATTTATTCATTTTTGGTGACTAAATAGCTCTTAAATCCCTTTGGGCTGCATTAAACTGGGCCTTAGTAGCTTCATCATTAAAATACATGTGAAGAAGTCCAGTCTAACCTTAAAAACCTGTGGCTTTGTGATAAGTAGCATATAATGACCAGGAAGACAGATGGTATAGCTGAGATAAGCCCAGAGATAAAGAGGTACATAATAAGTACCTGTGAGATTATATTGTTAATTGACATAAAAAATAGGTGTTGGGCCAGGTGTGGTAGCTCATGCCTGTAATCCTAGCACTTTGGGAGGCTGAAGTGGGTGGATCACATGAGGCCAGGACTTTGGGACCAGCTTGGCCAGCATGGCGAAACCCTGTCTCTACTAAAAATACAAAAAAATTAAGTCGGGCATGATGGCACATGCCTATGATCCCAGCTACTCAGGAGGCTGAGGCATGAGAATCCCTTGAACCCAGGAGGTGGAGGTTGCAGTGAGCCAAAATTGCGTGACTGCACTCCACCCTGGGTGATAGAATGAGACTCTGTCTCAAAAAAAAGATGCTGAGCGCCTTATGTTTCATAAAACCAGGGAATTACAACAAGATAATTAATCTGAATCCATTTTCAATGTAAAACAGCATGAGACTTTTTTTCATCCAAACAATAAAATAGTTTTGGCAAAATATTCCTCTTACAGATGAAAACAGTATTATAAAATGGCATTTATGACTTCTAAGCAGAAAAGTATTTGAGTTATTTTGTTTGTATTTTTTTGAGTTACCTTGTGTGTACTTTTTTGCTTTTGAAAGCTTTGCCTTATGTGTTTCTTACACTGTACACTGAAATTTACCTCGGAAGAAATGTAGGATGTGGAAAAATACATGTTGAGAGGTACCACATAAATTGCATATTGTAGTTATTTAGTGACTTGTAACATGTAACTGGTGGGCGTCAGCAGACTCATTTCTGCCTTATTTGTATCTGAACTAAAAGCAAGAGGCAACCATCATTAAAGGGTTTCCATTTGTAAATCACAAGCTGCATTTAGTTATTTGGGAAACTTCAGAAAATTATCACTGAGTCACTTATCCCCTTTTAAAAAATCTCTCTATTACATTTATGGACTCTTTGTCATACTCTCCTTAAGAACAATTCTATAAGTACCAAGTTGTAAATAGACCACCATGTCATGAGAAGAACCAGCTATGGCATCTCAGTGTATGACACCAAACCTTAGTATAATAATTAAATAAGACTTTAAAAAAAGTAATCTGATTTTTATTGATAGTGATAATCTCATTGAGAGTAATCACAGGCATAAAACATAAGTAGTTGCCCTAAGCAACTAAAATCATTACTTTTCCATAGTCATGCGTATGTTTTCAGCTAACAAAAAGGAAACTGTTCTGAGGCCCGCTGGAAGTATCCATAACTCAGATCCAGATTTTTTTTTTTTTTTCTGAGAAGCAGTCTCACTCTGTTGCCCAGGCTGTAGTGTGGTGGCGCGATCTTGGCTCACTGCAACCTCTCCTTCCTGTGTTCAAGCGATTCTCCTGCCTCAGCCTTCCAAGTAGCTGGGACTACAGACGCCCACCACATTTTTGTATTTTTAGTAGAGGTGAGGTTTCACCATATTGGCCAGACTGGTCTCGAACTCCTGACCCGTGATCTGCCTACCTCGGCCTCCCAAAGTGCTGGGATTACAGGTGTGAGCCACTACACCCGGCCTTATTATTTTTTTTCGTAACAAATGATTTCCAGAACCTGGATATTTTAGTATTCTAGTCTGGATATACAAGATCCCATGGGCTAGGATCAGTCACTCTGGGCTTTGGGCCCCTTTCCTTGAAGGTTAACATTGTACAGGGAAACATGGGTCAAAGTCACTAGACAGGAAACTAACGGTAAAGCAGTACCCAATTCTAGCAAGAAAGAGTACTTGGAGGAGGCTTTAGGCTGTAGATTTTCTTTCTCCTTTCATGTTGAAAAGTTCACCTGTCCTAAAGTAATGTTTGTTGATTTCTGTGGTATAAATACTCACCAGGTTCCTTGGTAGTTACACGCATGACCATGGAATTGGAAAGAGATGCATGCAGTGACTCTCCTGAGCTGGTGTGAGCTGGCTCCCACACCTGTACCTGCTTTCAGTGTGACAGTCTTCCGGTTCCCTTATGATAGAGAATACTGAAAATCCTGAACCTCTACCATAAACATTTCTTTTCCTCACCAAAACTGACGTGGATGCCAGTGTTAATTGTGTATATTAGGTAGTATTTATTAATAGTAATCTCAGTCTTTAACATCCTATTCAGAAATTTTTCTTAAAGGAATACTACATGTAATTCTATATTAAATAAAAGTTTTTAAAATAAATCACTTAAGGTAACCATTGTTTGTGTTTATAATGCCAAATAGTAAGCAAAATTGAGTCTTATAAAGAAGTCAGGATTCTTCAGAATTAAAATAGAGAAAACACTGTTGTTTTGAGGTCTTTTGGATTTTTACAGTATCCCGTGGAATAAAGTGAAAGTGCCCCAGAGCTACTAGGGCTTCATGCTGTGGTAGATGATGATACTGAAAAGTTCCATAAGTTGAAATGTATCAGATGTATGAATTACTTTATAATCATGTTTATTTTTAACAGCAGTTTAACGGATTAAGTGTTCCTATTCTTCAACATCCAGACCTTCAGGATGTCTTACTTATTCCTGTTATTGGACCCAGGTTTGTAAGAACTTCATTTCCAAATTATATTCTTCTCAATAAAAGTTTGTCACAGGGAACTTTTTAACTGTTCGGTGATAAGACTAAGTTTCCCGATTGTTAGCAACTTTCTATAGATAACAGGAATTCAAAAATTTAGAAATGCAGACTTTAGACTCTGTCATGGAAAATAATACAAAAGAAGACTAGGAATGGGCCCAACGACCTTGAGAATAATGTATTTTAGGTCCATTCAGTGCAGTGATGTTTTTCCCCCCCTCTTTCTGCGAAGTTTTATTTCATTTGTTTACTTGTATTTTCATATGAATTTTCAGTGCTAAATTAAAACTTTTTTTTTGAGCTGCAGCAAAAATATAGAGTAACCTATTTTCTACTTTCATAGTTGATATGCTTGTAAAATTTTATTTTTTGAGACAGTGTCTTGCTCTGTTACCCAGGCTGGAGTGCAGGGGCACAATGATTGCAGGCTTGAACTTGTGGGCTCAGGCAATTATACCACCTCAGCTTCTAAGTAACTGGGACTACAGGTGTGCACCACTGCACCTGGCTAATTTATTTTTTATTTTGTAGAAACAGTCTCACTATGTGGCTGGTATTGAACGCCTAGCCTTAAACGATGCTCCCACCTCAGCCTGCCAAAGTATTAGGATTACCAATGTGAGCCATTTCGCCCAGCCTGTAAAATTTTATTCATAATTCAACAATTATGTGTAATGCCATTTATGTTCTGCTCTTTTATGTATTTGGAAAGCATATGTTTGAAAATTGGAAAATAGGTTTTCGGGCTGGATCCAGTGGCTTACTTACGCCTGTTATCCCAGCACTTTGGGAGGCTGAGGTAGGCAGATCCCTTGACCCCAGGGGTTGGAGACCAGTCTGGGCAACATGGCAAAACTCCATCTCTACTTTAAGAAATTACAAAAATTAACTACAGGTGGTGTGCATCTGTAGTCATAGGTATTCAGGAGGCTGAGGTGGAAGGATTGTTTGAGCCTGGGAGGTGGAGCCTACAGTGAGTCATGATTGTGCCACTGCAATCCAGCCTGGGAGACAGAGCGGGACCTTGTCTCAAAAAAAAAAAAAAGGAAAAATAAGTTTTCATAGTATAATAATTATAATGGAATTTTATTCCTATGGAGCGTTTTAAAGTTCCTAATTATGGTCTAAAATCTTTTTAAACTCCTAAGAGTTATGATAAATATAGAAATGCTTTTGTTAAAACTTTAATTGAGTGGGCAACAATAGAGCAGTGGTTTCATAAGCTATGATTTGTCCATGCAATGGGATAGTATATGGCCTTTAATATGGGAGAATTATACATACCAATCAGAGAAGATGTTTATGATCATTTGTTAAATATCAAAAACAAATTGCCATACTTGGGATAATTACTTTTTTTGCAATTAAAAAAAGTACACAACTATGCCTTTATGTATATTTATATACATGTAAAAAAAACCGTCTGGCACCTGTAACATACCCAGCTTTTAATAGTGGTTGACTCTGAGGAAGTTAGATTGGGAGAGAGGGGAGAAATAAAAGGAAATTTTTATGTGTAATATTTTCGTTTTATTTTTTACTGTAAGAATGTATTTTTGCAATTAAAGTTGATTTGTATAGGCTTCTCATTCTATTTAGTTTAATTTTTAAAGTTTTTCATCTTCTATTCCGTTTTTTAAAGGTGAAATTTACATACAGTGAAACGAAGAGATCTTAAATGTATAGTTTGTTGAGTTTTGACAACTATATACAGCTGTGCAGCCAAGACACACCCCAGTCAAGACAGAGCATTTCCATTATCCCAGAAACATCTCTTGTACTCGGCTACCCTACCAGGAAACTGCTCTTCTTATTTCTGTCATCTCTTAGTTTTGGACCAGTTAGTTGCTAGTATAATAGACCATAATCACAGATCTTTGGCGGTTACTACACTCCTTATGAGGATGCAAAATTGTACTTACTTAGGTTCAAACTTTGGACATTTCTTACTCTGTTAAACACCTCTTCTTTATTCTTTAGTTTTGTTTAGTTTCTTAAAGATAAGAGTTCAATTAGGTTTTTCTTTATAGAAGCAAGTAAAAATTAGAGTTGTACATAAATATAAAAGTAAACATCTGTTACATCTCCTGTCCCACCTCCCAATTTTGTTTCTCTGAGCATCAAATTTGATATTTTCTAGACCGTCTCTATGCTTATATCTGCATACATGAATGCACATGTACAGTCATTTGTACTCACTTTTAGAAAATAGAGAAGATTATAATGTTCTGCAATTTGCTTTTGTGTTTACTTAAAAATATACAATGGATATTGTTCTACGATTATATAACAGTATTTCATTCTTTTTAATGGCTGCATAAACAGTATATTTTATCATTTAGCTCAGTTTTAATTTTTCTATCCTCCATTGATAGACATTTAGTTTTTTCCTGTTTTTCATTATTACCTGGTAATAATAATAATAATAAGTGTTGGAGTATTTGTGGACTTGCATAAGCATGTCTGCATAACAAAGTGGATATGACACAGAATAACCAGTTCAAAGGTCTGTGCTTATTTTAGTTGGAGACATATTACCAGATTACTTTCTACAAAGTTTTACCAGTTAATGTTTCAGCAGTATATGAGAGATTTAGATGCTTGCATTCTTGCCAATACGGGCTATTTTAGGTCTCTAAAATATTTGGATGATTTAACTTTAATTATTTTCAATACTTACTTTTATGTGACCTTAATCATCCTTTCATTCTGTTCTTTGTAGTGATCTAGGCTACTCATCAGAACATGAGTGAATGTATAAATACAAATGGTGAGCTATTGCAGGAAAGCTTGAAAAAATTATTTAGGATTGTAAATTCACATACGTACCTTTCATTCCTAAAATGAATAAGTCAATTCCTTTTTGTTTGTTTTTTTAACTCCTGATTTTTATTAAGTATCTTTTTATTATTTATTTTTTATTTATTTATTTTTTTGAGTCGGAGTTTCACTATTGTTGCCCAGGCTGGAGTGCAATGGCATGATCTCAATTCACCACAACCTCTGCCTCCGGGGTTCAAGCGATTCTCCTGCCTCAGCCTCCTTAGTAGCTGGGATTATAGGCATGTGCCACCATGCCAAGCTAATTTTATATATTTAGTAGAGATGGGGTTTCTCCATGTTGGTCAGGCTGGTCTTGAACTCCCGACCTCAGGTGATCTGCCTGCTTCCGCCTCCCAACGTGCTGGGATTACAGGCTTCAGCCATCATGCCCGGTAAATATCTTTTTAAAAAATTTTTTTGTTTTTAGTTTTTTGAGACGGAGTCTCAGTCTGTCGCCCAGGCTGGAGTGCAGTGATGTGACCTTGGTTCACTGAAACCTCAGCCTCCCAGGTTCAAGCAATTCTCCTGCTTCAGCCTCCTGAGTAGCGTGCCACCACACCTGGCTTAATTTTTGTATTTTTAGTAGAGACTGTGTTTCACCATATTGGCCAGGCTGGTTTCGAACTTCTGACTTCACGATCTGCCTGCCCCACCCTCCCAAAGTGCTGGGATTACAGGCATGAGCCACCGTGCCCGGCCTATTAAGTCTCTTGAACTTTCCATTATGACAAATGAGGAGGTTCCTGGAGTTAAATTTTCCCAAAAGTTCCTACCAGCTAATTTGTATTTACTGTTGTTTCTCTTTTTTTTTTTTTTTTTTTTTTTTTGAGACGAGGTCTCGCTGTGTTGTCCAGGCTGGTCTGGAACTCCTGAGCTCAAGTGATCCACCCTCCTCAGCCTCCCAAAGCGCTAGGATTACAAGTGCCACCCACCATGCCTGGCCAGTTTTGTTTGTTTGTTTGTTTTAACATTGTCAAGCTTTATAACATTGTTATTTCCCAAGTATTCACATGAATGCAGTGCTTGCTTTCAGTCCTTATGTCACAGTTTATTTCTCATTTCTTGTCTTTATTAATGTCTTTGTTGGTGAGTACAGTCACTTAGCAGATCTCCTGCACCCCCTGCCCTTTCCCAAAGTGTGCCTCTTATGTACTGCATTACTTTCTTGGTTGAGAATGTCTGCCTGTTGCCTTTACGTTTATACAACAAATTGGCTGAGTCTGGTTGTTCCAGGCCACCTAGTATTTCTCTTAGCACTTTGTAGACATTGTTTTTATAACCTGTGGTATCAAATGTTACTGTGAAGAAATCTAAGACCCACCAAAAACTTTTCCTCTTTCTAACAGTACCTTGTCTTCTGCTTGGAGATCTGTGGAATTCTTACTTACTGAACTTTAGATATTTGGCCAGTGTAATGCTTGGTTTTGATTATTTCCTCTTAGTTCTTTCTTCTTCGTTTTTTTGTTTTGACACGGAGGCTCACTCTGTCGCCCAGGCTGGGGTGCAGTGGCACGATCTTGGCTCACAGCAACCTCTGCCTCCCGGGTTCGAGTGATTCTCCTGCCTCATGCTCCCGAGTAGTTGAGATTACAGGTGCCTGCCACCACACCCAGCTAATTTTTTGTATTTTAGTAGAGACGGGGTTTCCCCATGTTGGGCAGGCTGGTCTGGAACTCATGACCCTCAGATGATCCACCCACCTCAGCCTACCAAAGTGCCGGGATTACAGGCATGAGCCACCTCACTGGGCCAACTTTGGCCATTTCTTACTCTTAAACATTTCTTAAACACCTCTGCTTTATTCTTTAGTTTTATTTAGTTTTCCTAAAGATAGTTCAGTTAGGTTTTTCTTTATAGAAGCAAGTGAAAACTAGAGTTGTACATAAAAAAGTAATCATCCATTACATCTCCTGTCCCACCTCCCAGTTTTGTTTCTCTGAGCATCAAATTTGATTTTTTCTGGACTGTCTCTGTGCTTACATCTGCATATATGAATGCACATGTACCGTCATTTGTACTCATTTTTAGAAAATAGAAAAGATTATAATGTTCTGCAATTTGCTTTTGTGTTCACTTAAAAATATATAACGGATATCATCTCATGATTATATAACACTTTCGTTCTTTTTAATGGCTAC